GTGTGTGTGTGTGTGTGTGTGTGTGTGTGTGTGTGTGTGTGTGTGTGCCTTAATAGCTCAAAACTGTACTGACTTTTGGACACCCTATATAGCACCTTAAAAAAAAAAAACCTGCCAGAATTTCATAGAATCTCATTCAGTCCTCACAACAACCTCTCTCTGATGCAGGTACTATTATCCCCATTTACAGATAAGGAAACTGAGGTTGAGTGACAGAATGGAGGAGGTGAAGGACCTTGAAGGCAGGGAGATCTGGCTTCAGTCCTTCCTCAGACGTTTATTAGCTGTCACTCAAGATGAAGGAACTGAGGCTCAGAAGATTAAGCGACTTCTCCAAGATCACACAGGTAGTAAGATGGTGGAAGTCGGAGAGAGGGAGGTTTTGCCTAGATTCCTGTCAATGACAGCTGTCCCAAAGCGGAGCCAGCCGCCCGGGGAGTTAGTGAGTGCCCCTTCAGTGGAGACTGAAGGAGCTCTAGTTGGGGATGCCACATCTCGGGTAGAGGTCGCCCTAGGGGACCTCTGAGGTGCTAACTAAGACGCTCTGCCTCTCTCCAGGGTATTCCAGCTCTGCCATAGAAGTTCTGGAGGAGGAATTGTAAACCCTCGGAGGCCCGGGACTGAGGCAGGTGGCGGGGAGAGGCGGGGCTCAGTCACCACTGGTTGATTAACCGAGGTGAAATGCTTCCTGAGAGATCTGGTAAAGGATGAAGGAAAGAATCTGCCTTTTCCCATTCCCACCCGACAGAGGCGTCGTCCTAGTAGAGAGGTGCGAAACACCCTCCTAACCTATTAGCCGGGGACCACCTTGAGGGCCAGGACGTAGCTTTATTCCTAGCTAGCTTCACTACGCCCCACCCTCCAACCCCCGTCCACTCAGTTCAGACCTGCAAGTTTCAGAACTGCACGCCTAGGAAAAGGGCTTCGAGATCATCGATCTCATTGCAGAGGCACAGACAATTGGGGAGGGGGGGTGTCATATGGACTAAGGGGCAGGTGGTGACAGGCCCTGGATGCCGCAAACCCAGCTGTTTCTCAATCCATGGTTTGGCTCAGCCAGAACCTGGGTCTTCAGTACTAGTCCAGGAGGCCAGGGGATTATCCGCGCGTGGAGCAGTGAGCCTGAAGTGCAGGGGCGGGGTTGTGACGTCCAGAGGAGGACCGCAGGGGACAGAGGTAAGTGGGGGCGGAGCACCGAGTCAATGACGTCAGCGGATCCTCCCCGGCTGTCCGCGCGCAACCCTGCGTCAGCAGGCAACTACGGGGGACCGGGGGCGCTCGCGCGTGTGCTCAGGACTCTGGTGCCAGGTTTGCTGGCGGGGGCGTGTGTGTGTGTGTGTGTGTGTGTGTGTGTGTGTGTGTGTGTGTGTGCGCGCGCGCGCGCGCGCGCTCTCCCCTTCTTCCTTTCTCTCCATCCTCCCCCCTCTCTCTGTCCCTTGTCTCTCCTCTCCCTCTTTTTCCCTCTCTCCCTCACCCTCTCCCTCTCTCCCTTCCCCTCTCTCTCTATTTCCCTCACCCTCTCTCGGAAGGAGGTGGGCTGCGGGGGCAGGGGAGGCCCGGGTTTTAGCCGGGTACTGGGAAGGGGTGCTTTGCACACGATAGCGCACGAATACCTCGGGTTTCCCTGGCCGCCCTTTGCAGATGCGTGGTACAGCAGGAAAGGTTGCACACTGTGCCAGGTGTGTTGATTTGAACCAGGGCTGTTCTGCCCACGACTTGCTCCAGAGGCTGAAACGGACCTTGGATCATCCGACCCAGTCTCATTTGACTTAGGGGAAGCTGAGCGCCAAAGGAAGGAGAGGCAAATGCCCAAGAACACCCGAGAGTCAATGGCAGAATGGCACCCAGGGCTATATTTGCTTTTTCAGAGTTCGGGTAGGGATGGTGTCCCTCTGCATGGCCAAGCTCGCATTTTTCCACCTTTCATTGAGATCATAGTCCTAGAGCTGGCAGCTACTTTAGGGGTCATCGTGTCTAAACCCTTAATTCGGCAGATGAAAAACTGAGGCTAAGTGACTTATCCAAGGCCACAGGGCTAGTCGAAAGCAGAGTTGGGATTTAAACTTCGGATGCTTTCCTAATTTTCCTTTAGATAAAACTGAGTTCCCCACTTCAGGGCCTATTGTCCCACACAGTCACGATCCCCATCTTCATTTTAGGCTCTTACCTTTGGCATTTCTCTGCCTCATTTGCAGAGATAATAGGCCTGACGATCTTCTTGATTTACTAACCTCAAGCAAGTAATTTCTCCCTCCCTAAACCTCACTTTTTTCATTTATTTTCCCCTGAAAAGGTTGTTGCTAAGTAATTGCCCTTCCAGCTCTTAATATCGAATATTCTAAGGTTTGGATTTTTTCTTTGTTTTTGTTTTTGTTTTTTTTGCAACTCTGACACTCCATCTTCTTCCCATAAAATCTTTCCCAGCTCTGACATTCCATGTTCTAAGGGCCCTCCCAGCTCTGACATTCCATGTTCTAAGAGCCCTCCTAGCTCTGACACTCTGTGTTCTAAGGGCCCTCCCAACTCTGACAGTCTGTGTTCTAAGTGTCCCCCCAACTCTGACAGTCTGTGTTCTAAGGGTCCCCCTCCAGCTCTGACAGTATGTGTTCTAAGACATTCCTCTGTTCTCTAAAGCTAGAATGGTACCTTAGCCATTTCCCGGAGCCCCATCTTTGATAGGGTAGTGCCCTCTGCTGGTGTCAGAGAATTTTCCACCTTTGAAGTATAAAAGCCTGACTTCCCTGCTCCTGCTTTGAAACACCAGGGGAGGAACTAGGATATCAGGCCCACTTATGAAGACAAATATCCCAGCAGACCAGTGCTTAAAACCCCACTGTGGAAAAAAAAAAAAACCCCACTGTGAGAAATTTTCACCTTCAGGTTAAACCTTGTCCATTCCCAG